TTTTCTTCTTTGAATTTTTTTTGCAAGTTATAAAATATTAAAGAGAAAAAATAGTTTTTTTATCAACCAAAATAGTTTTGGTTGACAAAAACAAAAGAGAAAAAATAGTTCAAATATAAATATGAGAAATAATTCATCAATATTTTCTAAAGTAGATATTTGAATAGTAAAATAATATTAAAAGTAAAAAGTTAATCAAATTTAAACATGAATAAGAAAAACTAATAATTTCAAAATATGTGATAAAGTTTATTCGTAAATCAAATAAAAGAATGCATAAAAATTAATAAAATAAATGATATTCTTTCGATCAATGGTTTTGCATTAAAATTCTTATTTTGATATTAACTCATGATACAGTATTTTTATCACAATTAAATATTTTTTTCTGCAGATTTATAAAAAAGATTTTCACCAACCCGCATATGTGCGGGTCTTTTATCTAGTATATATATTTATATAGGGTAAACAATTTCTTTCGAAAAAAGCAACTCTTATTGAAAACCATAAAACGGTTAATAAAAAAATAACTACTTAACAGTTTTCTACGAAAAGTCACAATCCAAAAATATTTTTTTTCGAAAAGACGCAACTCTTGACGAAAACCATAAAACAGTTACTTAGAAAATAACTAGTTAACGGTTTTCTACGAAAAGTCACAATCCAAAATATTTATTTTCGAAAAACGCAATTTTTAAAGAAAACCAAAAGTGGTTATTTTTTAAAAGACACAATTTTTGACGAATGAAAAGATACAACTTTTGACAAAAAGGTTATAACGAAAAAACGCAACTCTTGACAAAGCGATTTTAACAAAAATATACAATTCTTGCAAATAATCATTAAACGGTTTTTTCGAGAAGACACGATCCTTCAAAATAACCAGAATATAGTTTTTTTTTTTTTTAAACTCGACTCTAGCATAAAATGATAAATACAAAATGGTTTTTGGGAGAAATCATAATAAAATATTGATTTAATTGGGTTTGCTATTATATATAGATTGAAGGATGTGTGATTTTAGATGTAACCCACAGTAGAA